TGGGAAGCCGGTGGACATGGCCACAAAGAGAAAAGTAGCAGGTGCTAGTCGATAGTATGAACACACTATGGAACAGGGGGGTATAAATGACCACCCGCTCAGGGGTTCCTCGACATTCTTATGTAGGAAGACTATCGAAAACTAAAAGCAAAAAAATGAGTAGGCAAAATCCTACTTGAGGTTTAGTACAGTCAAGGACTTTCACTCCCCCCCCCCCGCCCGCCCCCCCCCCCGCCCCCCCCCCCCGCCCCAAACAGGGTTTCTCTGTGTAGCCCTGGCTGTCCTGAGTGAGATTCACGTACCTCTGCTTCCTGAGTGCTGGGATTAAAGGTGTGAGCCACCAAATTTCATTTTTTAGAAACAATAAAGAGCTTAATGTCTGTTCGACGCTTTCCTAATCTCTTCTACATGCCTTAGCCTTGATTAGGAGCTGGTTTACAGGGTTTGGCAATGGCACTTGGTGATAGAGTGCTTGCCTCGGTGAGAGGCCGAGGGTGTGATATCTACCGCTGCAAAACAATTAGGCCTATTCTTTTTTCTAACACCGTATCATAGTAACTTGTATGATCCAGTGGCAAATTATTAAACTCCAAGTGGAAGTTTTACCACAAATTGAGTAATTTGGAGGCAAAATATATGACTTTTCTTTTGTTCTGTTCTGGACAATGGGAACAACCCTCTGGCCCCTGGTTCAGAGTTGTTAGGGCAGACTAGTGATACCCAATTGTTTTGAGAAGTGGTGGTGGTGGTGGTGGTGGTGGTGGTGGTGGTGGTGGTACGTGTGGTAGGGTGGGTACCAGGACTGAACCAAGAGCCTCGTGCACTTGAAGCTAAGTGCTGTAACCCAGCCAAGGACTATAAAACTTATGAGACATTATTTTTTATTACTGTATTATTATTTTGGTGCTGGGGTTAATATTAAACCCAGGGCTTCATGTATATGAAACACTCATGCTTCACCACTGGCTTAGACCTCAGGCCCTAATTTTATTTCATTTATTTAAATTAACTCTTTTTTTTTTTTTTAAATAAGGGCTCACATTGTAGCTCAGGCTGGCCCCAAACTTACAGCAATTCTTCTGTGGTGGTTTCCCAAATGCTGGGATTGCAAGTATGAGCCACAACATCTGGCCTTATTTTTATTTAAAAAACGAGAATAAAGCCATTACAAACTTCCATGGAAAGAGTCTGTTCATTTTTATGACTTCAATAATTTTTATTGGTGTTATTAACTATATTAGTTCTTTAACTTCCTAGCTATTTTTACTTATCTGACATGCTTCCTTCTGACTAAATAAAACAGAAGCTACAAGAATTAAGTTCTTTTCAGGTGATATTACAAAGATAACATTTTTTTTTAGCATGAGTTGATATTCTCGAGGGTAATATGTTTGATTTTCAGGGCGCGAGATGCAGATGTTGATCTGGTGGGAGTGAGGCCCTAGGCTCAGTCTCCATCCTGGTAGAGGGGGATGGGGGAGAAGAGAGAGAGACACGGGCAGGAAGGTCGAAGAGGTAAAGTTCAATGGCCGAGGTGGCAGGCAAAGGAAGCAATATTAAACCACACTCACTGCCGTGGCACCCTGGGAAGAGGAACAGCCAGGCCAGTAGAAGACAGCCCCTGGTCACTCTGGGCTGCTTTGATCATAAAAGCCTCCTTGAGTGAGATTCAGAAAAGAGACAGGAGAGTGGCTACTTTCAAAGGCAATTTTGTTGAACACTTTTCTCTTTCTAGGCATTCTCTATGTGCGTGGGAAGCTGACCCAACCCTATGATTCATAGGGCTCAGGAAGTCCTATCTTACGTGTGCCTGGTTTTAATGTAACCACCTTAAGCCACATCATTTCACATGACTGGTGTAATAATCTTTCCCAAGATGAGTTGGTTTCATTGGAGACATTAAATGACATAGTTTTATTGGATTTCAGAGGTGAATAGAATTTTAGCGTTAGTATAACGCCTTTTTTTTTTTTTTTTCGAGACAGGGTTTCTCTGTGTAGCTTTGGAGCCTGTCCTGGAACTCACTCTGTAGACCAGGCTGGCCTCGAACTCACAGAGATCTGCCTGCCTCTGCCTCCCAAGTGCTGGGGTTAAAAGCATGCACCACCACCGCCCAGTCCTAACGCCTTCTTTTATAAATAGAGAATGGAAGGTCTAGCAAGATGGTTCAAAGGGGAAAGGCGCTTGCTGCCAAGGCTGCCGACCTAAGTTAGATTCCTCAGGATCCACACGGTGGGAAGAGGAACCCAACTGTGCAAAGTTGTCCCAGGCCCGCAGCTCCCAACAAAACATTATTAAAAACAAAAAACAAAACGAAAACAGAAAACTGGGGCGAAGTAAAATGGAACTGTTGAGGATCCCTCAGACAACAAGATGTCAAAGTGCAGACCAAGTTCTCTATCGTTTCTGTTTAAGATGTTCTCGGGAGCTATAATTGATTCTAAGTTGCAACAGCCTTCTACAAAGGAGAGGCACAAGCTTGCCTTTACAAAGTTCAAAGCTGCAGAACTGGAGAGTTGGCTCAGCAGCAGAGAGCACTTACTGCTATGCTGAGGACCAGACTTTCTCCTCAGCACCCAAGTCCTGAAGCTCACAACGGCCTGTAATTCCAGCTCAGGGAGATCGGATGCCTCTGGCCTCCTCAGACACCTATACTCATGCACACATACATAATTAAAGAAATACACACATAATTAAAGGTAACAAAAAAGTCTTTACAAAATTCAAAGTTGCTCTTTAAAACATAGTTACTAAATTGTTTTTGAGGTAGGAGGCTCATGAGTTTAGGGTCAACCTTGGCTAAAGTGATCCTCCTGCCTCAGCTTTCCAGCAAGCTGGAACTATAAGAGTACATCACCACATTCAGCTCTGGGGGAAAAAAAAATTGGGCAGTGGTGGCACACAACTTTAATCCCAGTACTCAGGAAGCAGAGGCAGGTGGATCTTTGTGAGTACAAGGCCAGCTTTGGTCTACAGAGCAAGTTCCAGGGCAGTCAGGGCTACACAGAGAAACCCTGTCTCAAAAACAACCACCCCCCTAAAAAAAAAAAAAAGCCACATTGAGTTTGCTTCCTTATGAAGTAACAAATGCAGTTTATGTAGTAATATTAGCTTTCACCCATGCTACTTTTTTAAAAATTAATTTTTATTTTATGTGTACTAGTGGGTGTTTGCCTGTATGCATGTCTGTGTACCATGTGAATGCAGTGCTCTTGGAGGCCTGAAGAGGGCATCAGATCCTCTGGAACTGGAGTGGCCATGTGGGTGCTGGGAATTCAGTCAGGCCCTCTGGGAGAATAGCCAATGCTTTTAAATACTGAGCCATCTCTCCAGCCCTATCACGTCACTTTTTAATGGTTTTCCACAAGTAATTAAAATATGTTAAATATGAAGTTTGTATTTCTGGTGGAATAGTACAAGGCTTATATTTAAAAACCATTTGATGGCAAGATCCTTTTCTTTTTGTCTTATTTATATTTACTAGAAGAAAATATATAAAAGATTTTATCTTGGCTTAACAACTACTTTATATGCATCAGCTCATTAAGAATTGTACACTTTAGAGCTGGATGTGGTGGCTCACACCTACAATCCTAGCACTTAAGAGACTGATAATATTTGAGGTTAGTCTGGGCTGTATTGTGAGTTCCTGGCTAGCTAGGACTACATTATGAGACCTTGTCTCAAAAACAACCACCCCACCCATTCACATTCCCTAGACTTTAGAAAGGAGAACGCAACCAGAAATTGGGCTTGGCATATCTTAGGTCCTAATAAGTATTTGTTAAGTGAATGACTCTAAGGCATATAAAAGGAAATTTCAAATTAATTCCCCTTATTCCAGGAACTAGGGAGCCAGGTAAACTCACTGAGGTAGTGATTTTAATAGGACTATACTTTATTTTTATTTTTTTTTTTTTTCTTTTTCTTTTTTTCCCAAGGCAGGGTTTCTCTGTGAAACAGTCATGGCTGTCCTGGAACTCACTCTGTAGACCAGGCTGGCCTCGAACTCATACGAGATTTGCCTGCCTCTGCCTCCCAAGTGCTGGGATTAAAAGGCGTGTGCCACCACCGCCCAGCAATAGGACGATATTTCTAATTGGGTTGACGATTTCCAACCAAATAAGTGTCTCTGGAGAGGTAAAGTAATCTGAATTTCTTTTTGCTGGTACTGGGGATACACAACTCCTGGCTCTGTGCTAGGGGAAGTGGGGAAAAGACCTCTCATCTCAATGTTAATGGGTTGGCGATAATATATGCATGTTGTCGGCAGGTAGGGCACGCAATAAAAAGTAGCAATTATTATTACACATTTCCTATTATTAGATACATAGTAACCACTGATGACTCTTTCTGCAACGCACTGGGATCTAGTTGTGTGAAAGCACTCCTTGCAAACACAGTTAAGGCCTCGTCGAGATTGAGAGATCGATGGTTTTATGGGAGATCGAGGAGATTTAAGCAATTGGAATTTGCACCGGATTGAACTAGTGGAATTGGACGACGCAGTCCAAGGTTCATAAACCACACCGATCTGAGGGGGACGGACTCCGATGGCTTTTTAAGTCCCTTTATCGGACCGCTCCCAGTCTCCCGTTCTCCCGGCACCATCGATTCAGGCTCCCGAGGCTCTAGGAGCTCGAAGCCCGCCGGGGCAGGAACCTGGCTCCGCCCTTGCTCCCGAACTCCTGCGTACACACTCACCCCCAGACCACAAGATTATAAGGGGACCCCACTCAGTCTCCCCGCGGGTCCTAGACCAGAGACAAGAGCAAAGGCTGCTGGGAAGTTGACCTTTCACCTCGCCTCTGACTTCAGTTCACCTATTTTGACTCCAGCCAATGAATCGACGAAGACAGCGGGAGGGCGGGACTTGGCGTTGGCCAGCCCGTGCCGATTGGACGGGGGCGGCGCTGGGGGCGGGCCGTGAGAAGGGTGGGGTCCCTACCCGAGTGGGCGGGAGCCGCGGGGGTCTGCGCTTGCGCGCTGGGCCGGCTACGCGTGCGCGGTGGGCGGAGCGCGCCCGTACCTTCTTCACCAGCCCAGGCTTTCCCGTCCCTGCACAGTGCCGTGCGCTGCTGGTGTTTCATCGCCCGGGCGCAGAGGGTCGCTGCCGCTGCGGAGTGGGCGTTCGGTTTTCGGGCCGTCATGGCTGGCTACGAATACGTGAGCCCGGAGCAGCTGGCCGGCTTTGACAAGTACAAGGTAGAGCGAGCGAGCGAGCGGGCCGGCGGGCGGGATGGCGAGCGAGCGGGCGGGCGGGCGGGCGGCCGCCCCTCTCCTCCTCGCCCTGGCCGCGCCCTGGCGGCTGAGGGGCCGGCGCGGTCCGTGTCACCTTGTGCCTGCCGCGTGGCGCGCCCGGCGGGCGTTGTTGCGGGGATGCTAGGGGGGCTCGCGGTCGGGGAGCGTGGGATCATCCTAGGCCCGCCGCCCGGTCTCCGCACCCCGCGGGAGAATGCCTTTTCCTTAAGAGCACCCGAAGAGAACGAGAGAATTCCTTTCTCTCCTTTTCCTTATTGCTTGTCACTGCTGTGCTTTTCCAGCCTCTTCTAGAGAGGGTGTCGGTCCCTTCTTGCGCCCTTGTCTTGGTCTTCGTTTGAATGAACTTCCCATCTGCCTGTCAGTGCTTACAACTTCAGGAGATCGGGATGGTCCTGTGGTGGATGCTCAGGGCGGGGAAGTGACTTCTCCAGGCCTTCGTGCAGACGCGCTCCACCCTGCCTCGGGAAAGAGGCTTCCACTGTGGCTCGTGGCGCTGGCGCTGCTGGTCGAGACACATTGTGCGCTAGAAGGAACTGTGTAGTGCAAAGAGCGCACGGGCTTTCGAGCACATAGAAACCCGATGCCAAAGTCAAGTTTCTGTTTGGCTTTGGGCGAGTCCTTGAAAACCCCACTCCGCCTCTCTATTAGGTTCTTAGCCCAAGTGTGAGTTTCTGTCATGCTTAGTGGATTGTAAAGGGGTTGGAAAGAGTCTGGCACGTAATGATCCCCCAGGAAATGATGGTTTTTACTCAAATTTAGTACTCCCACCAGGGAACTACTGGCCGTCTCGTCATCTTAGCCTGAAATAATGGGCCTTTAGTGTTTCATCTTTGGTAAGCCTTTCCTGAGATCAGTCTGTTCCTTTATGAAATTAATGTGCCTGTGGAATATAATAGACTGTCTGAATGATGAGGCATGGTCAAAGCACAGTGCTACACTGCAGAATTGGCATCCAGCAAACATTTGTGCAATGAATGAATATCTGGGGGAGGGTGTCTTGATTTTGTTTAACTAGAATACAAAAAACCCCGAGCGGCTCTAGAAGGCCCTAGGATATCCCTCTTTGAAGCAGCATTGGACGGTTCTGAATTGAGGTGGTGCCTTGTCTTAACACTGTAACTGGGAAGAAGTTCCAGAGCCTAACGTGGGCCAGGGCCTTACAACTTGTGTTCGAGGAGGCTATTAATACCTCTTGTTGTGTCGTCAGCCTCCCTGCCCCCCCCCCTTAATATATATGCTGCACTCTGTAAAGAGTGACAGCTAGAATATTTTCTTTTTCCTCGAGCCTGACGTTTAGAGCACGTTTTTATAAAAGAGCAGTTGTGTTTAGTGAACCTTGTTTTCCTTACAGCCTTCTCTAGGTTTCTATTTTGCGCTACACAGGAGTCCTACTTTTTATCAGACATTTCAGTGTGGTTTTCTGTGGCGATCGCCCTCCGCCCTTATCTGATTCAGTTCCTGTGTCTGACAGCAGGTTTCCTATCATCCTGGAAAACAAAAGTCAGTTTAGCTAGTGGCCCAGTGTTAATTCACTAAAATAGCTTGTTTATGTTATTTTAATTACAATGAGGCTTTTTTTTGGGGGGGGGGGAACACACCCAAAATCAAATACAAATTTATTACCTTAACATTCTTCTAGTAGAAGGTTCTTTGCTCAATGCTATACCACATTCCTATCTAAAGAAAGAATCAGAGGTGTCCAAAGGAAAAGAATCTCTGTGGTCAGTTTTGTTGGTTTGTGAAGTATATACACAGAGATCTTTTCTTTCTCATGGTGTGGTCTTCAGAGAGCACGTGCTTTATGGCTTCATGAATTGAACCACCACCCCCAAGTGTGCAATCAACACACTTTAAAGAGGTTTTTATTCTCCAGTGTGACCTTTTATCATACAGCAAAAAGATACAGAGGGGGAAAAAAATGATACTCCCAGAACAGCTGGTGGAAAAAATTACTTTTGAACCAGTTTAATTTCTTTGTTGTCCCCGGAGGTACATCTGAGAGCGACTTGTGGAAACCTGGCGTGTGCACAGCGTAGCCGCCGAGAGGGGGGTGTTCACAGTGGTGGTTAGGTTTCTGTAGTAAGAAAGGGATGGTTGTGAGTACAGAAGAAAGCTTGGCGTGGATTCTGTTTTATATGATCCCTTAATACTTGTGTCCCCTGGAGGAGTGTTGAACACAGCCCTGTTCGGTACTGAGTTTGAGAATGAGTTGATGTCTGCCTTCTGTGTTAGGATGGGAGCTCTAGGTAGGCAGAGCTGATAGCTGTCATGTTCAGCATGATCGGTGTCTCCACACCATCCTGAGCCAAAGAGATGCCCAGTAAATACTGAAGGAATGAAAATGGAAAGAATAGAGGGTGTTTTAAGTATGGTAAAAGGAGCGGTACATGTGGGTAGCGGAAGGCTTCTTTTGAATTTTCGCTTTGAATGTGAGGGTGCCAGTTTAGAAGGGCTGTTGTTCTGCTCCCTTGCTGCATAGCGACCTCAGACAGTTGTGTTGAAGTGTCCACCTTCATGAGGTTTATCATTCCTTTCCTCTCCTCACTGTGTTTCCCCTTTCCTTGCTCCTACTACACAGATACTTAACTGTCAAGGGACTCCGCACTTTCATGGTTAATCACAACAGGGTTAAACTGTTGCGATTTGCTTAGTCAGACCTAGGGAAGGCGCAGTTTTAATTTATAGTGCTGCACCTAGTGTCACATTGTATCCTTTTGCTCTAGAGGGGAAATGAGCTAAGTACCTTGTTTAGTTTCCAGAGCAGAATTGCAGGAATTGGTTTCTGCTGTTGGGTAGTTAATTTACGTGACTGATGACAACTGCCTGGTACAGGGACTGTAGTTGCTGTGCATTTGTTACTATGACAATTAAGAAGTTGGAAAGAGAAACGGTATTTGCATCTTGATAGCAAAGCCAGACAACCAGAATCCAGACTGGCCTTTGGTCTTACAGTGGGCCATACAGTGTAATTTTATTTATTTGGCGAGCATTTATGGGAGATCTGCTTATCAGGCACAGCACTGGGGTTGCAAAATTAAGCTAAGTTGAAATTCCTGACTTCAAAGAGCCCGGTTGGGCGGCCTAGGGACGGGGTAAACAAACCTTTATAAACAGTGAGTATGGATCGTAAGTTCTAGGTGCTGTGGAAAAGGATAGGGGGCACCATACACCGGTAGGGATGACAGCGGATGTTAGACCTGAGGAAGACTTCAGAGGTGATGGAGGTGAAGGCAAGGCCGGTCCAGAAAGATGAAAACTGAGTGGAGAGAATGAGGAAGGGAAAAGGCATCCTGTCGGAAGAGAGCCCTGCGTTGAGAGGTGGGCCTGAGAGATTTTCTGAGAACCACAAAATGTGTGTTTGAGTCTAATGGCGGTGTGGTCGGTGAAACTGGCGAGGAAGGCAGGCCCCTGGCAGAGTGGGAGTAACTTTGTTCTGTGGGTTGGTGTCTGTGGCCCACATTTATTGGCATCAGAATCACTTGGTGTGGGGGTGATTCTGATGCCAATAAATAAATACATCCCCACCTAAGAAATGTTGAAGGCCTGAATATTACGGCAATGGGGACCGAAAAGAGGGACTAGAGCTTGTCTGTGTGTGTCAGTGTCCCAGTGTGCCTTAAGCTCCTGAGCTCTTGCTTCGCTATCCAGAGTGCTGAGATGACAGGTCTGCGGCACCATGTCCCCCAAGAGAGCAGAGACCCGCCTGCCTGCCTTCCTTCCTTCCTTCCTTCCTTCCTTCCTTCCTTCCTTCCTTCCCCTTTTCCTCCTCCACAGTCTTATCTGTAGCCCAGCTAACCTCCAGATCTCTCTGCCTCAGCCTGCCTAGTACTAGGATCGCAGGCACGAGCTACCACACCTAGCAAGGTCGAGGAGATTCTAAAAATAGAGGTTACAACCGGTAAGCCCATACTGAATTTATCCAGCAGATACATTTAATTTGGCCCTTACTTGGTTTTAAAAAAATTAATCTTTCCCATAAAAGTTCAGATTTCCAGATGCTCTTGAAAAATCAGAATCTTGGGCAACACTGTCCTTGAACTTCCTCTTTTGGTTCAGGCTCTCCCCCCCCCCCCCAACTTCTTTTAAAAAGGTATATGGCTGGGTGTGATTGCGCATGCCTGTAATCCCAGTACCAGAGAGGCAGAGGCAGGTAGGTTCCTGTGAGTAAGGCCAACCTGATCTACATAGTGAGTTCCAGGCCAACCAAGGCTACATAGTGAGACTCTATCTAAAAACAGGGGGTGGGGAGAGAAATATGGCTGGGTGAGGAGGCACGTGCTTCTGTGAGCCTGGCATCTCTGAGGAGGTGACAGATATCAAGGGCAGCTTCAGATACACAGCAAGTTTCAGGCCATCCTGGCCACTGTGAGGCAGAGTCTCCAACAACAAAATGGAAAAACCTCCAGAAATCATGAATGAATAATAGAGCACGTGCTCTCCAGTTTACCGTTTCCCCGCTGGTCCATGTATCTCATGTAGGTCTTCTTTGTTCATTTGACCTTTCCATCCCTGCTTTTTTTTTTTTTTTTTGGTTTTTCGAGACAGGGTTTCTCTGTGTAGCTTTGCGCCTTTCCTGGAACAGGCTGGCCTCGAACTCACAGAGATCCGCCTGGCTCTGCCTCCCGAGTGCTGGGATTAAAGGCGTGGGCCACCACCGCCCGGCCCATCCCTGCTTTAAGACTGACAGAACATGGTAACTGAGCAGGTAGCTGGGGGTGGTAGTGGGGGGAGGGTCGGGGCAGATAGAAGGTAAGGAGGAGCCGGGGATGATTCAGGATCTGGTAGGGAGGTGGACGGTGGAGGGAGGTAGCTGTTGTGTGAGGCAGGGCTTTGTGAAGCACTGTATTGTAATGCTGTAAAATTCTTTTTTAAAATGCCTTTGTTACTATTTTTGTGTGTAATGGGGTCTCTTGTAGACCAATGTGATTTCAAAGTCTTATGTA